TTTTTTACAAAGTAGATTTGTTCCTAAAAAAGTCATGTAAAAAAAACCGTGTAAAAAAAAGACATTGATCATATGCAAAATGAATCGTGCTAAATGGAATAATGTCGTGTACATTTTTAATTTTTAAACCGTGTAAATAAAGACCGTAAAAAAACAGAATTAGGCGTTAAACAAAAATTTATATTAAAGGGAATGCAGTAATACGGTACTAATCTTAAAGGGGGTATTGTAGTCGGCGAAAAAGGCCGCTGTGAGATATGTCTAAGATATTTTCACAAAAATATTAATACAAAAGATCAAATACAAAGCTTATGCGTAATTGCAAATATGCCTTCATGAGCTGTGGCTTAAATTTGTAGCAAGGTTTGTTTTAAATTCAATTAAGTAGTTATGATTTGACTGACGTTTTAGGAGCAGCATCTCCTTTATTTCCACTCGATGTGCAGCTCACGCATTAAAAAGAAAGTTGTATGCACATATTATGTAAAAATGTTTCGCTTTTCACGCACTTTTGTTTTTTTCTTTTGCATACATATATGCATGAGTATATATGTATGTAGTACTTATGTGCATATGTACATACATATGTTGCACATCGGTCGTTGGATTCGTCTGGCTTTGGCTGTCTAGTGGCACATCTTTTGCGGCAACTTTTACGCAGGAGACGCAGCAACTGGTTTTAGCTTCGCTCGTTGCTGGGCTAACTGGTCGACTGGCTTTAATTGCCGGTTGGTTGTTGGCCGTCTGTGTCAGCGTCTGCGCAGCTTAACGCTTTTCCATTGCCTCCAACAGCGTCACCGTTGCCGGTTATTTACTCGCCTGTCTGCTCCACAGTTGTCATAATTTCACTTTGTCGGGTCTGGTGACCGGGCTCGCTTGCGACTGGGTTGGAGGGGCATTTACAATTTTGGGTTAGCTTGGAAGCAAGCTATTTATTAGCGACTGACTTTGTGTAGCTAATGGATGAGTGGTTGATTGATGGGTGATGTGGATTGGCTTGGACAATTGATTGCAATCGTGTACTTAATGCAACAGCATTTACCAAAAAGTTCCCGACATTCCTAGAAAGTGGCATTGAATGACAAACAAATGAAAAGTTTTTTCTTTATTAATAGAAACGATAGTGTAATGTTAGAGTATAAGAATTACATTTGCAGATATTCCTTTATGGATATAACTTGCTTGACATTAAGGCAATTAAGCAATAACAATCTTCGTTGTGCAAAAGTACTAAAATAAGGAGATTCTTATGGGGGCGGGGGATCCTTATGTTCTTACAGATAGGCAGACGGACGCATAGCCACCCATGCTTGACTCGTGTTGTCATAGTGATCAAAAATATATATACTTGTACTTTGTTGATATTCTACATTCTCTGTTACTTACTCTTTAAATACCCTTTTATCTTTTCTGTTCAAAATTCCGTTCTTTAAATATAAATCGGTCTTCCCCTTATCTGTAGCTTCACCCACAATTTTGTCCAGAGCGGGATGATCGTGAACTAGTCACAAAATATTGTAAAAAGTTCTAAAGCCTGTCATTACGAAAAAGTGCAAACTGTTTCTATAATGAAACTATAAAGGATTGTTATTATGAATATTTAAAAAATTTGAACATATAATTTTAATAGGCGGGTTTCTGAAGAAGGATTTTAGCTTTACGTTACTGGTATCAATCTAACATAATGTAGTTATGAAACAAAATTTTGTTATTAAGTAAGAAGAATGTATCTCTTCGAAACTCTTCTCTAACTTAGAAGCTTTACTTAGCTTTAGCTTTATTTCCCTCCCATCAATGCAATCCATATTTAGGTGTTTTAATTGACCATAGTTCAGATATTATTGGTTATAAAAATTTGGATTTTGCAATTTGTTGTTAGACGTGCCGCATGGCTGCCTGGTTGGGCATCGGTCTGGCCACACATGTTTCTGCTTTTGTTATGGCAAATATTTTTCCACAAATATTCCCTAATTTTCACGCTCCTCTGCAACATGCCGAAGTCTTCGAATTTTCTTTGCACACAATTAGCCGTACAACATTTTTGAATTTTTGTATTTTCATAAAAAGAATGTTTGCTATAATAAAAGCATCCATCAGTGAGGCCACCAATTGATGCTTGATTTATTTCGGCTGGCATTTCCATATTTTTAATATTTGCAAAAGTTGAAAAAATACATATGGATATATGGATATACTGGATACACTATAGTATATGTTTGAAAAAGAGTTGTGTGGCTTGGTATGTTTTGCGATCTAAAAAATGCAACGGAAGATGTGTGAATAATTTTTAGATCAAATAGATCAGAAGGTTTTAGAGCAGGATCATTTTTTCAGAGTTCTTCATCGCAACAATTCATATTCTCTTTTCTTGAATGGAAACTGTAAGCAATCCGCTATTTTCTAAAACTTAAGATTTATTTTCCCCTGTGAATTATTTCTAATTCGCTTTTCAATACATCGCCCAAAAAATTCCATAGAAAATCAATTTTGTAAAACTTTAAATTCATTGGTCGCATAAATAACGATAGAAATAGTGTTCGAATTAAAACTAAGCTTTTTTCAAATCTGATTTTAAGTATAATCAGGGCTTATTAAAAGTTCAGTGTTTGCCTAAGGAAATTTTTTATTTTTAAAGTAAAAACAAAAATGTATACAATAGTATTGCAGAAAAAAGATTGCGAGATTGCCATTATGGAATTTAAGAAAATCTCAACAAGGTTAACAATGAAGTTGACTTCTCTTTAGCAGTTTTAACTTAATGACCTATTATTAAATGTTCCATTGTTTTGACCAGGAAGGTTCTTTTCATTTGAGCTTTAGTTTTGCTTTGCAAACTTTTTGTTGACTTTTATTTCCTTAGGTGCTGGGAAAAAGTTTTGATCCATTATGCAATGCTACGAATATAATACATATATATGTATGTACTCTCTTGACTCATTGGCTATATCGTAAAAACTGATTGTTAATTACCTACATTGTCTAGCTATTAGCGAATATTTGCGTATTTGCGTACACGTGTAACGAACAACGACAGGTGCACTCACACTGTCCACGCCCACTTGAATACCTTTGTTTTATTTTAGCCACACGGGGCGACCAGTCATGCCAAAATTGCTGATTAGTTTAACAAACTCATCGCATCGGATCGCATCTTATCTCACTTCATTTTTGCTTTATTACATTAAAATCATGGCTAATAGGGGCGATGGTGGTCTAAATCAAAAAATCGAAATGAAACGTGCTGAAAAACTAAAAACATGCCCCGGCCATCGAAAACTTTTCCTTTTCGTTTGCACACAGCATTGAAGAAGATTTGCGTGCATGCTCCATTGCTCTTCATACACACACACACAAACGCATATGCATACATGTACATATGTGTGTGTGTAATTGTGTGTGTGGGCTTTGATTTATAAGACAAATCAATTTGTAGCACTTTTGTTGTGGCGAGCCATGCAAAGAAAAGAAAAAAATAAAACGAAACAAAACAAAACACAGCGCAACAGTATGAATGCGAAATTGTTGAGAAGATGATTGTCGGTGCGATGGAGGAGGTGGAGGAGGAGAAGGAAAAGAAACAATAACAATATGTATTTGCCGCAATGCTTGACTTTCATTTAGCTTCTAGCGTGTGTGTAATTCGAGTGCTTCGCACACGTTCCATTCTCCACGTTCCGCCGACTTTCACACATCGACTGGCAAACTGGTGAACTGACGAACTGACGGCCTGACGGAGTGGCAGTCTTGTCGCTCGGTCGCTTGCCTCGCCGGCCGTTACCCCAATTAAAAATTCAAGGTTGAGAAAATCTTATGGGTGTTGTATTACAAACACAAACATACACACACGTGCACACATCGTACAAATGTAGTCTGAGAACATTCGGTGTAACCTCAAAACGTGCTCAGAAGTGAAAAAAAGTGTACGAGTAATTATGCATGTTTAGCTGCTTGACGTTGCATTGTGACTGGCGCCTCGACGCCTTCTATATACCCTTATAAATACAACAAATATAGGGTGGTTCATATAGTGGTTTCTTTTTTTGTGGTCCATATACATACATACATAAGTATATTTGTTTATTTTCAAAATTAAAAAAAATTAATAAAAAACATTTATTCTGGTAAATTATTGGTGTATTCGGAACATGATTTCATTCGGGCTAGCTTCCTGTTAGTCCGGACTTCCAAGTTCTTGCTGTATCTAACGAATGGCTTGCTCGATATACGCCTTGTATATATGTATGTATATACTATGTATGTGGGTTCGTAGTTAACGTTGCACGCCTACAAATGGGGGTAATGGCCATTGTTGCCGTTTCTTGAATGTTAAAAAAAGCTGGTTAGTAATTAAAATATGCTAGAAATAGTCAAAAAGGCTGGAGGTTAAATACTGGTAAAACGCTGCTTTTTTTAAGATCCTGAAACTTTAGAGGTACCTGAATTGTAATCTTTAACTCACGATGGACCTTAAATTTGCTTTCCAATTCATACATATACCGTCGTTGTCGGAATATTTTATGCGAATAATAAAATTCAATGATTTTAACAGGAGTTTTTTTTATTCAAAGTAATAGTGGCTTGCAAACTCTTTATTTTCACTGCTGTAAAAAAAAAAGTCGGTTCAATAGATAACAGCTTCTCTGAGCTAGAAACATAGAAGATACGATTAAAAACAAAGCCATCAAAAGCTATAAATCACTTAAGCTGCAATCGTTTTCCCTCCAAAACTGGCGGGAAATGAGTAAAATGTGCAACACTAGTACCGACATGAGTCTAACTCATGGCTGTCTTATTTTTTTTCAACTACATATGTATATAGCACTTTAATGGGGCGTGCCAGCGACACCTGAGACTTGTATATTGTTTAGAATTACGTTGCGGTTGCAGATTTGGTTTTTCTTATGCCAAAATGCCATTTGACATTTGGCACTGTCTGACATATCCATTATATGCAGAGCTATATATACTTATACTATATGTATGTCTCCTTTATTTTACAGGCACCGGCACCTTTGGACGTGTCTGCTTATGTCGCGATCGCATTTCTGAAAAGTATTGCGCCATGAAAATTCTGGCTATGTCAGCCGTCATACGCTTGAAACAGATTGAACATGTGAAGAATGAGCGAAATATATTGAGAGAAATACGTCATCCGTTTGTTATCAGTTTGTAAGTAGACAAATTTAAAATTTAAATTTAAAATTGGTTTATTACTGCTTGAAAGATTAGAGCAAGCGTCAAGCTTGCTGCATTAAGTTGTCGTTGATTCGGAAAAAGCTTTAACTTGTTTGACAAAATACAAGATAAATTCAGGTATTATTAACTGAGCACTACACATTTATTTCAAGTTTTTCTCTGTTTTTAAAGTTGACATTTTCTAAAAATTAGTGAATTGTTCGTAATAAACGATCAGTTACTTTAAAGTTATACCTTAAATTTACAAAGTATGTAGGACTGATTAATTTGTGGGCGAATCTATTAACTTTTTTCTGGGTAGTGTTAATAAAAATTGGTTATTCTATATGTAAGCTATAATAAAATAACTATATGAACTCACCTTAAAAAAATTTTATTTATTTATTTATTACATTTGACACGAATCTTTTTGTCATTCGTCCAAAATATTTGGCTTTATCTTTTGTGAAGTTTATAATTGAAATAAGGTGTTGATATTTTATTAAAATTATGTTCCTGAGAGTTCCATTTTAATAGTCTTGAACGATAATTTAAAATTTATATGTTATTAAATTACAACAATAATTATTAATCCAATAACTATATAATAGTTAATTCAAAAGATATAAAAGCTTTTTGGTTAATCTCCTACATTCTTATCTGCACTAACTGACAACAGAGCTCAAAATTAAGGCGTATTTTATTTTTTATTTAATTTCTTATTTCCAATTCTGTTTTTTTTTTCATACCCTTAAGTCCAATAGCATGCTATTGGGGAAGTACAATTGTTCAAAAATACACTCGTACTTGACAGATATTTGTACTTGTAAATTAAATCGGTGTAGAGGAATCTTCATTTCTATTATCAAATTTTTGGCAAATTTTCGTTTTTTGTATATGTTTTAGAATAGTACAAAGCTATACTAAATAATTTAAATTAATCAATAAACTACTTTCATCATTTCAGGGAATGGTCCACAAAGGATGATTCAAATCTATATATGATCTTTGATTACGTCTGCGGTGGTGAACTGTTCACATATCTGCGTAATGCCGGAAAATTTACTAGTCAAACCTGTAAGTTCTAATTTATTAAGCTGCATAATAAATCCAACCTTTACCTGGTTTTTCACTTCCAATCCCACTCTTTTAGCCAATTTCTATGCGGCTGAAATCGTAAGCGCTCTAGAATATTTGCACTCACTACAAATTGTGTATCGGGACCTGAAGCCTGAAAATTTGCTCATCAATCGGGATGGGCATCTGAAGATAACAGACTTTGGTTTTGCCAAAAAACTTCGCGATCGTACCTGGACATTGTGCGGCACTCCTGAGTATATTGCGCCGGAGATCATACAATCAAAGGGCCATAATAGAGCTGTGGACTGGTGGGCGTTGGGTACGTTTCTGTGACATACTTATACAATTAATTTAAACAATTAACCGAAATCCCTTCTGTTACAGGGGTGCTCATCTATGAAATGCTTGTGGGGTATCCTCCATTCTATGATGAGCAACCTTTTGGCATATACGAGAAGATTTTGAGCGGTAAAATAGAATGGGAGCGACACATGGATCCCATTGCTAAAGACTTGATTAAAAAGCTATTGGTGAATGATAGAACCAAGCGATTGGGCAACATGAAGGTGAGTTGGCAGACAAAATCGAAAGTGTTTAATCAACATTTAATGAACAAGCGCTTGTGCAAAATAATTAAACGAAATTAATAAATGATCAGAGAAGCCACACTGCGCAATAGGGCTAGACAATATTATATATTTTTAGCCCAGCAGCTGCAGTTAATCAAATGCCGCAAATTTATGAAATATTTGCTTGTTGATGTTGCAAGCCTAATATGCAATTTAAGAAATAATAATAAATTCTAAGAGCTAACAAGATTAGACCACACATATAGTATGTACATAGGTGATATGAAAAATCTAAGAAGAAATTCATTAAATGCAAGGTATTTTATGGATGGCATTAATGTTGTTGCAGTTGTTCTTTTTCGACATAGTTTCTTGAAATTAAAAAAAGTGTATTTATTATTATTTTATTTAATGAACAGAAAATTTACATATATAACAAGTAGTTATAGATAAGAATTATTTTCAAATCCAGTAGTTTAACTTCAATAAGAGAGAATTTTACATTTATAATTATTTCAAAATTATGCATTACAATTTTATGCGAACTTACTAAAACTTTTTAACTGGGAAAAAGAATGAATGAAATGAAAATTTATGTTATTTTATATAAATGAATTTATTATCGGAAAATGGGACGCTTGCTTTTTATACTCTGTACATGAAATGTACAAGAGTATATTAGGTTTGCGGGAGCTGAAAAATGTAACAGGCAGAAGGAGGCGTGGCAGACCCCACAAAGTATATATATTCTTGATCAGCATGACGAGACGAGTCGATCTAGCCCTGTCTGTCTGTCTGTCCGTCTGTCCGTCCGTATGAACACCTGGATCTCAGAGACTATAAGAGATAGAGACACCAAATTTTGCACAAAGATGCGTTATGTGTGTATTCTATACGAGTTTGTTTTATTTTTTTGATTTTCCCCCCCACTTCCCCCCTATGGGGGTTTTCACGATTTTCCATTCGTATAATCGCCTATATCTCGGAGACTATAATACCTAGGAACACCAAATTTTAGTCCCAGATGCCTTATGTGAATACGCAGAAAATGTATATTTTGGAATTCCCCTCCCTCCCCCCTCTACCCCGCAAATCGTAACTCCCGTAATTCTTGGAATTTCGAACTAAAATTTTGGAAATACCCCCAGTTGGTTATTATGTGTCTGTATGCCAAATTTCATTATGATAGACCGATTAAACAAGAAGTTATAGCCATAAATATATTTGCTGATGCAGCGCTGCCCGCGGCTGTTGTTGATGTTGCTGTTTGGTTGACTGCGAAAATGCTTACACAGACACGAATAGATGCGCATAGGCATACATACACTCACAGACGCAATTGCTATGCAAATGTGCAATTATACACCCTTTACGTGAGTTCGAATACCGAGAGAGGTAAAATCGATCAAATTTTTTTTTTATTTTCTTAATTTTTTTATTTTCTATAATTATTGTAAACATATGTACAGAGTATTTCAAAGTCGGGACACCCGACTTTAGCTTTTTTACTTGTTAAATGTGAAAACGTGAACGAACGCGACAAGTGCGTTTGTATTTAGCTCTGGATAACAACTTTTAAATATAACTTGCTATATAATACATTATAGGATCATATTTTCAACATAGCTTAATCTTTATCTGTCATAAAATTACTATAAAGTCAGGCAAATTAATTTTTTAACAACTTCTTCAAACTATGCGGCTAGTTAGTAATTAGGTTTAAAATTCCATTAATTGGGAATAAGAAGACATCTGGACATCTGGTTTTGTCCTTTCAAAAAGTTCTCCTTTTTTTTTGACATACAAATGCTCTAGCTATGTGCTTCTGTTTCCTTTTTCGAATTCGATTAAATTTGTTGTTGAATTTTTAAGATTGCATCACATTTTCTTTAAAGAAATGAAATTTAATGAAATCACTTAATTTGTGGCTGTTTCTAGGGTTTAAATTCCAGGTGTATAATTGGCAATAAGAAGTTAGCTGGACATCTGGTTTGTCCTTTCAAAAAAGGGCTCTATATACATATATATATATTTTTTTTTGACATGCAAATGCTTTACGTTTTTTTGTTTCCTTTTTCGAATTCGAACAAATTTGTTGTTGAATTTTTTAGATCACATTAAATTTTTTCAAAGAAATGAATTTTTGAAATTTTCAATCAGTTGATTTCTTCAATTTTGAACGTACATATTGGGCTTGAATAAGTGCTGAGTAGGCCTTGGTTATTTATAAGTACAAATCATAAATATGGGGTTTTGGCTTATATTTTACTTTTCAAATTTCTCCATTAAACTGCCTTCAAGAATCAGTTGCAAGTCCTCAAATTTGTTGATGAATTTATTGGATTAGATTTGTTATCATTTTTTTAGAGAACTTTCACTTGCAATAGGTACTGAAGTAGAGTTCGATGAATTCATTTACTTTGTGAAAATCAAATAATTTAATCAGTCGATTTCTTCAATTTTTAACGTATTGCGAGAAGTGAATAAGTGATGAGTAGGAGCTTTGGTTATTTATAAGTATAAATCATAGATATGGCGATTTGGTTTATATTTTTTTCAAATCTCTCCCTTAAACGGCTCTAACAAATCAGTTGTAAGTCCTGTTTCTAAAAAATGGCATTCATCAGATTACACATACATATATATATATACATATATATATATCTATACATATGTCATACATTGTGTTTATTATTAAATTGCTATTCGTGGTCGTTGTGGGTGCTGCCAAAATTAGTGATAGGGGCGGCACTTTTCGTACATTTTTGGTACACCTGCTCGAATCGTTTATAGCCCATGTTTCCCGTGTCTTTATTTTTTCTATTTGACATTAGTCGGCGGGTTATACCACAGATAATATATAGGTTGGCTTAAGACTAATCGTATACTATATGTTGCCCGTCTAAGGATTGTTTACGCTTGTCAAAGCAACATATTTGCAAAAATAATACATAGTCCGTATTAATGATTGTGGTGCATTAAAACGTATAGTATGTACATATATCAAAATAATATAGTTGGCTTTTAATATCACTTGCTTGTTCATTCCCGAAATAAAGTGCTGTTGTTGTTGTTGGGTCCGCTGCACATGGCCGGTTTTGTCAATTTGCTGCAAAATTTATGCTTAACAAATTTTTCAAGAATTGTACGACAAGAATTTTTAATAGCATGTCGCGCGTTTTGCAACACGAGCCAACAACAACAATAATAACAACGACGACGCACAAGCTAGCCAATAATTATTATTTACATATATATCCGAGTATATATTTTTCTAATTTCCCCCTGTGTTTTCCTTCTTCTGTTTCCCCACAGAACGGCGCCGATGACGTGAAAAGGCATCGCTGGTTTAAGCACCTGAATTGGAATGACGTCTACAACAAGAAGCTTAAGGTGAGTTGGGGTTGGGATTTGACTTTGGTGTGGAATTGGGGTTCGGATTTGGATTTGGATATCATCCAATAAGCCAAATGAGTGTGCAGAATTGGCAACACACGCGTTTATTTTGTAGGCGAATGAATGTATTTTTATGCATGGACGTAATTATTAGAAAATAAACAAATCAATTTTGGAAATTAGCTATGCCGTTAGAGATAATGAGCCGCCAGGCTATTTTAGTGTTGTGCCATAAATCTCGCCATTCAGATGCCGTTGGCATGCAATTTATAAGTAGGGGTGTGACGGGGGTGGAGAGAACGCTCTGCTAATGGCCCCCACACACCCACTATTTTGGACCATCTTGTACTTGCGTCACGGTACCGAGTGCTGAAATGTCTGATCGTTTTTATGGTGCATACAACCTATTGCTAATACCTGCTCTTCTGTACTTATTCGGGTCTTGTCTTATATTGTTGTTACAGCCGCCTATACTGCCCGATGTTCATCACGATGGAGACACAAAGAATTTCGATGACTATCCCGAACAGGATTGGGAGCCAGCCAAGGCAGTCGACCAAAGAGATCTGCAGTTGTTTAATGATTTCTAAATTCGTATTTATGTTTCTCTTCTATTATATACCTTTGTTGTTTCACTCGCCCAACAAAAAGCAACTACATTCATTATTTATACTGGCAATTAGTGTTTAGGCGCTGTGTTGATTAGCTTGCAGGGCAATGGCCCGGCAATGATTTATTTAAAAACGGTTACATATATATATATTTATATATACATATATATGCTTAATATACGACTATTTATTATAGCTTAAATGCCTAGGTCTAAGTTTGTATGCTTAGTGTAATTGTCTAGCGACCGATGTAATGCCATCGACTATGGTTAATCGTATGTTTAATTGTTCAATGAGCAGCCCAGCATTGTTAATGCTGCTTAAATGATAATAATAATAATAATTATTATTAACGTAAAACGTTGAATAAAGTGATAGAAATGCAAATTGTGTCTCCTCTTTTGTTTGGTTTTGTCGCAAAAATTTCTTTGCACATACACTGGAATAAAATATATGAACTTGGTAACATTTTTTGAAACTTGTTTGCGTATATTTATTATACTTATTATGTGAAAGCTCAAATTCTAGAGCGGCTCTTTAGTTACTATTTAAAAAGGACACAGGAAGAGACGCTTTAGCTCTGGAATCCATTCAACAAAAAACATGGCTTGAAGACTGGGAAGCAGTGTGATGAGAGACTCTGGTATATAAATCAAATGTAATTTCCTTCTTTATCAAACTGCTTTGCGATTTACTTTTTAGAAAATTATATGCATGTATGAGCCTAGCTTTAGAAGTAGTTTTTTGTTGTACAACTTTTTCTTTATAAAGATAATCCATTGAGAAGGTTTTTTAAAAATTTATTTATGGTGTTGCATCAAAAAAGATATTAAACATTTTTTAATAATAAAAAAAAAATGCTAGTCAAGTGGGGTCAACACTTAAATATCCTGCACCCACAAAAACAAGGTATAACATTTTTAAATACACTATACACGTATATCTTTGTGTTTGTAAGAATTTCGGTGCCCAGAACCACAGTGGCACAGCGGAGTATATTAAGCTTTATTTTGATTTATTTACGATAACAAAGAAAGCTGTTGTTGTAAAGAAAAACATTAAAAAAGATGAATGTTAAAAATAGGCCTGCAAAACTATAATAAATTGATATATTATTTTGGATATTTTCGGACTCAAAGTATGTGAATTACTTATGTCAGTGGATCCTCTTTACAGCTCTACTGATAATTTATCCTCGAACTCAAAAGATCGACCAAACTACATCTGAAATTCCGCATCTTCTATATAGGGATGTTTCAAAATTTTTAAATTCCCAGTGAAAAGCATAGATGATAAATGGATGATGAATATACATAATACTTTGTTCAGATAATAGTTATGATCCGTCGATAATGTGGGTGCTTGAGACTCGCTTGATTATCTTTTTGTCATTAAACGTTTTACCGCACTTTTTCGTCGAGTGTATGTTTTTATTGCTCTGTCCATTGTCTTCGGATTAGCTTTTAAAAAACGTGTCGGCTTGTAGACATGGAATTGTATTGTTTATATGGTAGTAGGAGTGGGTGCCCATCATGCGTTCCATGTGATTTGTTATTTTCTTTTTTTTAAGTGATTTTCCCATTGTCAAATGCTCGCCATTTAAATTTGTTTTTGTTTGCAAACCGATTACGTTTTAGCGTGTTTTTGCGCTATTTTATGTTTAAGATATAAAATAGTTTGCGATCTTTTGATTTTTTATATAAATACTTAACATTGTGTGTATTTTAATCTGGTCTAATATGTTGCGTAGCATTAGTGTGTGTTAATAATTCATAACACTAAATTCTTTCTGTGTTTATGACATGTTTTCTGTGCTTTCCCACATGTTATTGGCTTCTTGACAATGCCTCGTTTTTGTTTATGCCTAATCAACTACACAATTCTTTATTCTATTTAAAATTTTATTAGACTATGAGCCTTGATAGAAGTTTGTCATTAGGTTGATTGTAATTTGAAATTTTGCTAACTATAAAATGACTCTTTAGCTTAACCAAAATATGTTTATAGGAAATATGCTAGAATTAACAAAATTGTTTTTTAAATTCTAAAAGAAGTCAAGCATGTTATAAACGAAATAAAACGATTTTTTTTGGACTCTTAAGTATCTGGCTAAGTAAATGCTTATCTGAACATACTTGTCCAATCAAAAATAACATACAACTAATATTTGGCTTTAATTTTGATTAATTTGTGATGTTTGGCCTTCAGCCGTCGATTAGGAAAAAGGCCTGTATAGTTTTTAGTTTAGTGTTTCGATTCGGAATGTGTTTCTTATAGTTTTGTCATATCATATTTGTAACTTGGTGTATATAATTTCTGTTTGTGGCTGAAAAAATGTACTAATTTGGCGTAGTAGAGTATAATCATAAAATCCATTTTAAATCTTATTTTTTATTTATATGCAATCAATAACTGAATCAGTTATGTAGTTTCATCATATTTGAAATATTCACCACAGTTCATGCACATACCATACCATGGACATAAACCATTAAGCAATGCGCATGCGCTTTTGTAAGAGCACAGGGTGCACTGGGCAGCGTTGTCGTTACACCTTCTGAGCGCCCTGTGCCCAACCCCCAAAATTGAAATGTGATGATAACAGCGTACACACGAGAGTCCAGTATGAGTAGCTCTGGGGCCGCCGCACTACAAATGTGGCAACAACAACCACTTCGCTTGACGCAAAACACTTCACCCAAAACGCACTCACACACACTAGCACATACTATAGAAAATGACCAAATAAATTAAATGTCAATGCGAAGAGCTTTGGCCGTACTACCAGAATGCGAATGTTACTTGCCAATTGATGGCTCAAAACAGTCTTTGCGCTCTTTGTCTTTGGCCGCTCGCTCTCCGGCTGCTGCTCTCATGCACACACGCACGCACCACTCACGCAGGCTTTTTTACAGTTATACAGGCCACTTGCATAGCGTGGCTCAGCAGTTTGTGGACAGACGTTTGCCTTGCCGTATCCGATTCTTGGCGCACGGACGTTAAAAGCACATGCGGTGACAAAAGCAAAAACAACAACAAAAGCAATAACGGCTCCAAAAACGGTAACACGAATGAGCAGCAAAATATAATAAGCGAAAAAGTATCTTTGTGTCTGTGCCTGTGTGTCTCGCGCGCTTGCCTGTGTGTGCGCGTGCATGTGTGCACGTCCATGTGTGTGATGAGTGCGAAAAATCACTAAAATGTTTATGCAAATCCATATCATGCGGGAAAGTGTGCGCCAATTGCGTAAATTGCATAAAGTGTAACCAAATTATATAATTATTATTAAAACGTGCGACGTGCGTAACAACACAAAATAGTGTGTACAAAAAGTATTCAACCAGCCTTAAAAGTTGCCAACCATAGGCCTCCAAAGTCACACACTCAGTCAACGTGCTTGTGTGTGTGTGTGTGTGTGAGTGTGTAGTTGGCGCATGTGTGTGTTTTATTTATTGGCCAGCTGCATTGAGTGTGTCCACCCCCACCCTCATCGCCACTCTCACCCGCAACCGGAAGTGATTTGTTTGAAACAAAACGCAAAACAAATATTCATGAAATTTTACGCCAACATTGTTTATAAATAAAAGTGCAAGGCTTGCACGCCGGACCTGGACAGGAAACACATTCACATAAGTAGTTGGACAGCTCCGAGTTGTCTTTTGGGTGGTAAGTAAATGAAAGAGCCTTTGTAGTCTGCTTATAGATTTTTTATATTGTACGTATCGATTTTCAACCAAAAAAATACACACATACACACAAATAAACACAACACAACACTCAGCACAGACGATAACACGAATTACGACAACAACAACAACAACAACAGGAACAGAAAAGAACAACAACAATAATAACGAGGAAACAAAAGCATGGCAAGTTACGACGAAGCCACTAAGCAATCGACTAACCAACAGACCAAAACGACCGACCAGCACGCCCACAAAACATATGGGAGGGACACGAGGTGAGGGTACGGCTTATAACCGCAGCAATTCGCAGCTAGGTGCACACACAACCTCACGCACACACAACCTCACGCACACACACACACACACACATGATTCGCACTCAGGCACTCATTTAACTGTATTTATAGACAGTTTTATGTGCGAAGAAAGAAGTTCGACTGCAGAATTTAATATGGCGGATGTGGCTTTTTAAGTTTTATGAGCGCACGCTTAAGCTGCTAGCCAGGCCACACAGGCAGGCAGGCAGGCAGGCAGGAAGGCAGTTAACCAGGCAGATACTTTCAACTGTGCAGGTATCCTCAAGCGTTCTTAAATGCAGCTTATAAACACTTTGCTAACTACTAATGGGTAATCTCTAAGGATCCAAAGGAACTTTGGTGTAAACTTTCATGAAACTTTCAACTTCGCTCTTTCTCAATAACGATCTACTATATGGGATGATGAGTTAACAATAAGTGCATAAATTAAATCCCCAGCAACAGCTTAAATAGCATGTGAACATGTACTATACATGGATTAATGCTGTCCATCAGCTAGAGCCTGCATACATACAAGTATGTATATATCAGTACAAGCACTGCGCTAGAGGCTATAGAAAAACACACCACATGTTAATACATACTCGTACATACATACTATACTTGTATATGAGCATATTTTTTTTGCGAATGAGATGCTTCTCTAAAAATATCAGATTAATCTAATTGTAACCTGAGGCTGAGCGATGTTTCGTTCAATTATAGACAAGTATCATTTAACGGATATATGATGAAAGCAAATCACTGATAGGCTTGCAAAACAATGCAAATGTTTAGCAAATTCTTCTGAATATCTACAACCATTTAATGTGCCTACAATATTAATATTGAGCTAAATGCGTAAAACGATATCTGCAGTAATTTCGACTGTAGACTTAAATTTTAAGAAATATTATTATTGCAGGCATCTAAAAATATACATAAATATACAAATATTTTAAATTCATAGCAAGGAGGTCTTTTGAAGTGAACTTAGCAACGCGCGATTTAAGTTTGTATGTCAATATTTTTGCATTCGTCTTTTAATTCAAAG